AAAAAAAATTTATTTTAATAAAAAGTTAAATCTGATTTTCTAATTTTTTGTTTTGCTCAATAATTTTTGAATGATTTGACTTTCATCAAGGGGTTTTGACTTTCGTCAAGAGTTTTGACTTTTCGTCAAGGGTTTAGTCTTTCGTCGTTTTTTAGTGCATTTGACAAAATAGTTTCTCAATTCCAAAAACATTTCGTCATCAACATTAGTTAACCCAAGGTAACGTGTTACACGTAAATTTTTTTATATTAAAAATGAAGATGGTCAATCTTTTATCACGTGATAAAAGCAACCGAGAACCATATTATGAATAAAATTTTCATATTAATTGTTACATACTTATATTATCTTAATTATCTATATGTATATATTATCTGAATAAAACCCGCACTTGTCAATCTTCATAAACACATGACAATAGAATTTTTTCTCAAAAACTGTCGCTGTGGCGCAGAAAGTTGCAGGGACTAGGTTGTGTCTTGCACTATAAATAAGAGCAACAACACTAGGTTATCAAGCAACAAAGCGACCAGGTCTTCCGGTTTCAATCCTCTTTCGGAAATCGGAAAAAGATTTTCCTTCAACTAGCAGCGCATTTTTGTCCTGGGAATTTCGAGAAAATGTATGCACCAACATCCATTGATTCCGACAAGTGAAGGAGGTTTTCTAAACGAATTCGATGTTTACAAAACATCTATTCAGGAGGTATATACATTTGCTATGTCGGTTCATTGATTTCACTTCAAAATGGACATTGTGGGCACGATTATCATGCGAATACAGTCTAACCTTGTCATAACGAATGTGTGGGACTGACCACCTAAATTTGTTGTAGCAAAAGTTCGTTGAGATGGCCAGGATCGAGAAAAATCGTTACATATTAGTATGACAAAAAAATTTTTTTACTATATATAAGAAAAAATTGTTCTTTATTACAAAAAAAAAAATAAATAAATAAAAAATGATAAATATAATAATGTGATAAGTTAACACATATTGTGCTGCTAATTCAACATTTTTTGGTTGAGGTTATTTCTTTTTAATAAACAAATTTCTCTTTTTTGTTCAGCTGTAATAAAGTTTCACTTTTTAGATGACAATGGTTGTGACTTTGTAATACATAACCATCCAAACAACAAGACTTGTATTTGCACATTTTAGAATTTCATAAAAATATTTAAATCACAAACAATCATACATTTTATTACATATTTTTATTACAAATTTTTAAATCATATATATTTTATTACAATTATAAAACATGAAAGTAAACATGCAATCTTTCGAGTTATTGACAATGTTTTTTATCACAACGATAGATTGTATGATTCTTTTAATTGTACGACTTTTAACGCATTTTTATTGGTCATTTATCATGTGAATTAGTTGTAACGCGACCAAAAATAAATTCGTTGTTCGTTGTATATATATAACAAGATTCTATTAATAAATTCGATGTAACAAAAGGTTTTTATTATTAAAAAAAATATTTTTTTCAAAATTCGTTATGACAAGGTTCAACTGTATATGGTCTCTGTGTTAAAAACAACCACGTTCATTGAAAAACGCTTAAAGGGACTTTCTATATATAAGTTTTTCTTACCCGAATGGATCTTGTTGGATACATTTTGATGAAAAAAGTTGTTGTTCATCAACAACGAAAATTACAACAGGTCAAATTAGATTAATACATAGTAAATTGTGAGGGATCGTTACTATTAAACGACCAATTTCAAAAATTTTTTATCAGCACACACACACAGTGTTGGCAACTAGAGTGGAACGGTCCACTAACACCATTGCATCTGGAACTGGACAACCAATCAAAATTCAGAATTCAAATGACAAATGATTTGAGCTTTAGCACAAAGTTGTATCTTACTTAACATTATTATATTAAGTAAAGAAATGTCTAGGCCCAAAATATCTTTTTGTTCCATCATTCATTGTTATAATTGTTCATCATTTGTTATAATTATCCCATTTTTGTTTTATTAAAAATGGGTAAACATCGATTGACGGAATAAAGTCAGTCAATGAAAATACTTTGTGGGTTTAATATGTATCAAAATGAACAATGGAGTGGTGACATATTTAATTATTGGGACTAGTGTACAAAGAAAACAACTGAGTTGGGTTATGTAACTAAAAGAATTTTCAGTATGTGCATAAAATCTGCATCAATTGAAAGATTGTAGTCTTCTGCAGGATTTTCACATTCTTCATGCAAAAATAGACTTAATATAAGTTTTTTTTGACATTGGATTGATTAGATTGAGATTTTTTTCATTTTAATTAATTGTTTTTTATTGTAGTATGAAAAGGTAATTGAAATAAATAGACAGATTCAAGAAATTATCAATCAAACTCATAGAAAACAAGATCTTGAGTTGATTAAAATATGTATCATTCTAATTCTGCACAAAATTTATCAGACTGGTCTGATCAAATTTAATGAAGAAAGTCACAATCATGGTGAAGATGTAATTATCTTTATGGAAAAGGAACTGAAGGTATAGCCCTTTGCGAAGATGAAGAAAATGAAACGACTACAAATGATGATAGAATTAACAATGACTCTATTATTGAATTTGCAAATTAGAGGTTGGAATTGACTAAAATAGTCAACTATTTTAATTAATATTGATAGATACAATGTCCAATAGTTCATTGGCTCCAAGTTCCAATGATTTAAGCAGTGGTTCCAGAAGACCTTTAAAAAATAAATCGTAATGCATGTGTAAATTGTGAAATTAAAAAAATTTTGTTAAGAATATGAAATTAAAAAAAATTTTTTTTAGTCGACTAAAGAAATTTTGAACAGCTAGTAGTCAACTAAGGATTTTTTTTATTGCAAATTGTATACATCCACAAAGAGATAATAGTGCAAAATGGAAATTGTGCAATTTGTTTATTGTAGATTTAGAACCACCATGTTACATTGGACAATTGTAATTTTTTTTTCAAATTGATAAATATTATATTTTGGATGGACTAGAATAGTCCAGTCCGGTCCAGTTAATTAATGGAACAGTCCAATGGCCAACAAAAAATTGGACGTTCCGCAGCACATTGGACCAAAACTGGACTTAGTCCAGTGGTCCAGTCCAGTCAGTCCAATGAATATAAAAACTGGACTTGGTCAAATTGCCAACACTGATAAAATAATGCTTGAGATTTTTGATTTTGCCAAGCAACTGAAAAAAAAATGTGGCGCAGTATACGCTAATCATTGAATTTTGCTTGGGAATCACTTATAAAGAAAACACTATTATAATCACACTTGTTTTTTCCAATTCCCGAGGGGTGTATTATTGTGTTGCTACAAACAAATTGATAATAAAAACTGCGCCAGTGATAAAGTTCGTTTAATCATTTATTTATTTTAATCATAAATTTTTCTTATACATACATCTTAAATCATAGAATTCTTACGTGCATAATTATAAAAAAAAAAAAATAATAATAACAATAAGAAAAATAAAACAACAACAACAACACGAAAAATAAAAAAATCATAACGCGAAAACTAATTAAATATGAAAAAATAAAACACGAAATACGAAACTGTTCGAGACATAAAAATTTATTTATAGTTAAGAGGTGTTATTACCTCATCGAATTTATATTCGGTATTATGCGCCTGAATTTGTAAATATTCAGCGTTAAGTTTTTTTGCCATTTTTTTGTATTTACTTTTAACTTCTTCTCTTTCATTCCTCCAGTGACGAGCTGCTACTTTTGAAACTTCTGCCATATGGCAATTGTACGATCTTAATTTGTTCAAAAATTCTCTTCTATAGAGGATGAAAGCGTTTGGAGACCTGTACTTTCTTACCAAGCGGTCTCCTATGAAGTTACTAAGTCTTAAATTTTGAGGCGGATTTGGCACATTTATTATCAACATGTTAAGATTGACTTCGTTTGATTCACCGATTCCGGCCATTTGATCCATTTTATTATTATCCATTTTATTTTAGATAAATTAATTGATAAAATAATTTATTTAATTTAATTTAAGACGCAAGGTATAAAAAGATGGAGAAATCAGACTTTTATTTATAAGAAAAAAAAGTCAATATAATTGGTTTGTCTTTATATGAAATATGTAATATCAAAATTTAATCAATACACAACATATCGCTTCCGTATTTAAAGAAAACAATAGATAGGCTTTATGTGATTTTCTTAATTTATCATTTATAAAATATTTTCGCCAAGTTTCTTTTGTTTGGTTTAGATAATAGAATCAATCACATTGTTTTTTTATACAGCTGAAAGATAAGAAGAACTGGCCATTTGTAATTCCAAAAAAACATATATTAATTTTTTATAAACGTTTCTTTCCAGAACAAATTTTCCGTATCGCTGGAATCTGATAGGCATATAAAATTTTCTTTAAATATGCATAATATGTTATATAATATAAATATAATACAGTGTGGTGATGTGTTGTGTTATGTTGCGTCATCAAAAGGATCGGAGAGTTATTTAAAATCCTTGTTTCGTTTTTTTTGACAATTCAATTCATAATTTAAATTATGAGGAACAAACATTAACGGACAAATATTTATAAACAAAGGAATAATTCCCTAAAAGAATTTAGGAAATCACGGTTATTTACAAGTACGCGAGTATGTAGTGTCAAATAGTATTGATGTACCCAAGTTTGTTCATATTAAATGAAATGGGTTGTTGTGTTGGAGTTGATAGATTTGTTGGCGTATTATTACATGGCAGGTTTAGCGAACAATTTTATTAAATATTACTTTGTATAATTTAGGAATTACCAATTGACAATAAAAACAAAATCAATCAATTACTATAAGTGTGTGCTTTTATAAAGAAAATTCGCAAAAAAAATTGTCCGACTAAAATAATAAATTTAGAAATTACGCTGTTGTTTTGGTTACACAATTCGATCATATATAGATAGACAATCGTTGCCCAAAATTACACAATGAATAGTTTTATATATATATATACTATATAATTAGTTAAATCATAACATCATTCTATACTCTTCGCCAACTGATAATGCTTTTAATCGTGAATTGTTTGAAGCAAAAAAAATGGACATCTTTTTGTATTTCACAATAGTGATTAAAAATGAAATTTAGGCAAAGTCTGTCCATCATATACTTTCGTAATGTGATACCTTCTTTGATATCTTTAATCGAATGAATGGATTAATCTTTGTAGATTTTCCATTAAACGAGTTTTTTGTTGTTGTTTGTTTCTTATCAGCATCTTCTTTTTTTGAGTGAATGCTTTTGAATTCCATTCAACTATTTAAATACATATCACAAAAAAATTATTGTTGTGAGCAAGTGTGTTCTTATTTTGAACTTCATTTAATCTAATTAATTCATGTTTATGAATTGATAAATTCCGAGTTCTTTTTTAATTCCATAAATAGGCGATGGTTTGGTATACGGACTAATAAAATCAACCTCTTGGTGATTTAACTCGAACAATATGTCGGTATCGAACTCCTATACTTTTTTTCCATTCTATTATTTAATTGCTCTTTTTTTCTCGGACATTTAAAAAAATAACCACGCGTCTGCATGTTATTATGTCTGTGTGTGCAGAAATATACAAAAAAATTGCTGTTGTGAGCAAGTGTGGTTCTTGACTTCTCTTCTTATTTGATAATTATTTTTGCATTTCATTTAATTTAATTAATTTATGTTTATGAATTGATAAATTCCGAATTCTTTTTTAACTCCATAGATAGACGATGGCTTTTAGCATACGGACCAATAAAATTAATCTCTTAATGATTGAACTCGAATAATATGACGGCATCGAACTCCTATACCTTTTCTCTATTCTATTGTTTTATTATTTCATTTAACTTGTACTTCTTTCCTCAATCGTTTAAAAAATTAATTACGTGCCTGCATGTTGTTCATGTCCGTGTGTTCTTTTTTTTCCTGACGTATGCGCAGAATATATTTTAGGAGAAGAATAAATATATACGTATTTGTTTATAAAGAAAAAACAATGCCGTCGTAAAACGTCTAGATCAACTTTTATTTTTTTTCTAATTATGTTGGATCATATAACATTTTCTACTGCATCAATAGTAATAGTTTGCTAATAATAATTTATGATGATCTGCAAAGATTTTCATTGGTTGCATTTTTGTTTGATTCCCAAATTTATCGTGGACAATGGCGACAATCCCTAAATTTTTTTTTTCAATTAAGAAGAAAATGGAAAAAAAAGAGACTTCTTCGCCTATTGAAATTTCATACTAATGCAATCTTTTCTTTAAGAAAAAACCAGTAGTAAACACTTTTTTTCTCTAAACTAAATTAGACCAGAATTACAATTTTAAATTAAAATGAACATATTTTTTTTACTACGCACGACAAATTTACAAATATTATAAATTCGACAAATTTATTGCTAAACATTCCTTGTAGTAGTCCACGATTTAAAATAAAAAATATCTCTCTTTCATTCACCATCGATTTAAAAAATATTCTGCAAAGCTTTTTTAATCCGATTTCTACCATAAAAAAAATCATCATAAACATGACATAAAAAAAAATTTTTTTTCTTCACTTTCAAATTTCTCTAATACTTTGAATTTTCCGTGGAAAGTAACGATTGCCATAGTTTTAGGTGTGCCATTTTTTGTATACGTGTATAAGGATGGTACTTTTTAAATTAATTTTTAATTTTAAATATATTTTTACATTTTACACTTTACAGAGTACCATGATTATTTTATTACAAAATAAATTTTTGTATGTACCCTACTTACCAATTAGATGTCGGAACGATCAATTTGATGAATCGTTGATTGACAAACGATTGGTATGTAAACTAGTAGAAGCCAAATCAGACGATGGATGTACATTGGTTGGGATTATTATTCGAAATAAAAGTTTAAAAGGAAAAAATCCTAGAGATGCAATCGAGAATTTCAGTAAACAAGGCCCGGTTTTAATATACTTTCAAGGGTACATAATATGAACAAAAAATATATATGTTTTTTGGGTTTTAATTTAATATTTGTTTTTTTTTTTTTTTGAAATTTAATAGAAATGCCGGTAATATGCTCCATCGACTTCCAATCTTTTATTAGTCACAGGACATTGGGGTGTCCCACATCATATGATTTACAAACATAGTCGATCACATATATAAATTTTCATTAATAAGGATTTTTTAGGGGTTTTGCAGATTTATTATTATTTTTTTGGTGCCACAAAAAAATTTTAAAAATTACTTTACTAGCAGTTCAAGATATAATAACAAAACACAACTTTGATTAGAATAATTATTATTATAAATAAAGAAGCTACGAGAAATTGTATAATAATATTTTTAACGGCTGTAAATTGTTTGTTTGGCTAGTACTATATAGAAATTATAAAATTTAGGTGTAACACTAAAATTTACTCAAAATATATTCGCAAGATTACAAAAATCGAAATAACTCTTAAACTATATGATGTATCTAAATAAAATGACATGGTTTGGATTCACATTTTGATGCTCTTTAGGCGTATAGAGAGCTTTTTACAATTTTATTTGCATAAAATTTTGTATCATATATACATAACTTTCCTTTTTTTCTTTTAGCTTAGAATAAGTGATATGATTTATATTAAAATCAAAAAAAACTCTCTATAGGGACATTTCCCTATCCTTCTAATATATTTTAAACTTAATTTGGAATCTGTACCTCTGTTCTTTAAAGAGTTATTTTCGTTCAAAGTTTACTATTAAAAAAAAGATCGACGAAAAATCCTTCTTAATAAAAATTTATATATGTGATCGACTATGTTTGTAAATCATATCTGATATGATGTGGGACACCCCAATCTAATACGCACACATTCTATAGTAAACCTTTTCTAGCAAACAAAGTAAAACCACATATAACGAACTTCTCTTTTCTCCGAATTTAATCAATTTCTTTTTCTATATTTTAAATCAAATTCTTTAAATAATGATTTTTGCGACAATGCTGCTATTATATATTAATATATAATCAATGAAATTATTTAACATCGGATTTATTTTATATAAGCGGCGAACAGTTGATTTATGATTTAGTTCAAGCTTTCTTAGGAACATCAGAAAGTCAAGTAATGAAACTTGATTTTCTTTTTTTTTTATGCTTTGTTAAAAAAATGAAATCATCTATCTGTTTTACAAAAATTCGTGGCTTGGATGACAAAAACTGGTTCCATGTAACAAAAATTAATATAATAATAAAGAAAGAATTAATAATAATTCAAATATTAAGACCAAAAAGAAAATGATTAGTTAAAAAATAAGGTATATAACAATAAATCATTGTAGGCAAATTCTTTTTTTTTTTATTAATTAATACATGTTGTCAAAATTAATTTGGCTTTGACTCAAGTCACCTGATTAGTCAAGTGATCAACCCACCATCATATTAATATCATTATAGTAATAATAAAAACATTATTAGACACATTCATTTTTTTTTTAAAAAAATAGATTTATTGATAAATTAGTCTATTTATGTTAGGGGTCCTCGCAATTAGAATTAGCCAATAAAGATTTTCATTAGATCACCCATCTACACATAGGCTTATTTCAGGTTATCTTTTTTAGAAACTGGCACAAGCACTCTATGTTTAACTCGGTATATAGCCTATGTGGCAGACAGTCAACAAATTTTATATGGCATCCAAAAATACTGGATATAATTTTCACCCAAAATATTTGGCTACATAAACAGGCAAGTTGGCAGATACATGCCCTCGACCAAAATATATTCCTTGGTTTTCTACTTCACTATAAATCAGTTCTGTATTAAAAATTAAATGATTGATCAAATAATTGATAAAATTGAACCAAGAAAAAGCCAGTTCAAAAATAAAATAAACAAACTTACTAATTATAGGAAATATTCGAAATATATGGAAGGATTTTAAGCAATTCTTTGGTAAAAAGATTGGATTGAACCCCGGTTTTTCATTCAGCAAAATGGTTAATGAAATTCGCGAATTACTTGGAGAGAAAGGAGTTGCCGCCTCAACTATTAAAAAACTTAAATAAAATCCTAGAAGGAAAGCGATAGAAGAATTCAGGAATGGGTCAATAAAGAAAAGAAGAAAGAAGTGGAGAGTGAATTTGATGAGAATAATGAAGCAAAGAGGATACAAATATCAATAATAACATTATTGATAATAATAGCAGTAGTAATAGTGAAGGTTGAATTTTTGTCAGAGTGCCCAAAGGATAGGTAATACTTACAAATGGCTTTGGGTCCGAATATTTTCCTCCCATGCAAGTGTTCTGACAATTCTTTAACTTATATTTTAAATTATTTATGTATTTTTCAATTATTAGTTGAATAATTTTCTTTTGTCCGTAAATAAATTCCAAGTCATGTGTCTATTATCATTGGTCGAAATTGTGCATAAATTATAAATCTTTTTTTTAAATGGCAGGCAACCTTCGACGATATTACAAAACAATTTAAATATTGTACATGAAAAATTAACAGATGCAGAAGAAGAGTTGAAGAAATTTAAGGAGGAAGGGAACTTGAGAGATTAGATGGGTTGATAAGGAAATTGTGGGGGAAAGAGTATGGTTATGACGAAGAAAAAAAGGAGGAGAAAGAGTATTTAGAGAAAGAAAAAGGAAGGTTGATAAAGAAGGAGAACGACTGGAAGAAGCATTATATACATTTACAAAATGAACTTGTTAAATTTAATGAAAAAGGTAATGAACTAATTGCATAAAAAAATGTACAAAAATTTATTTTCCATTCATTCCATTTCGTTTATTCACTGTTATGAAATGCGAATTGTTACCATCAAATTTCAATTCTTTGTTGAATCATTTTTCTTCTTGTTTGTTAATAATATTGAATATGCTTTCTTGCTATCCATTAGAGCTCATAAGAGAAAGACCTATTACAGAAGAAGAAAGTAAGAAATGTGATAGAAACTTGGTATCATACTTATATGTTTCATTCCATCATTCTTACGAATTTTTCTCTACAGCTAAAAGATCAAGAAGAAGAAAATGGACGGTTAATAGTACTTTACTGATCCAGAGGGAAATGGACCACTTTTTGAGATGATCATTCAGAAACGTGAATACGTGACGCTGTATGGTGCACGGGCTTCTGGAAAGTCCACACAAGTGCAACGATTTAGGGAACTATCGAGTTTTAAAGGATGTGTTTGCACTTAGTAAGTCGGAACACATTTCATGAAGTTTAATGGTTGCTTCTATTTTTTTTTTTTTTTCTTTGGAACAGTGCGAGTCTTGAGCTGGCTAATGCAACAGATACCGTGAAAGAGTTCTGGATATCATTTGGAATTTGTCTCACTCATGATATTTCTGAAAATTATGATCTCAAATCTATTAGTGTTTTTGAGTCTGCTAAAGATTTGCATATCGAATCTGCTATTGATTTCATTGACATATTTAACAAAAGCAATTGGAAAAAAAAAATAATATTGTTCTCTTTATTGATAAGTTTGATAAATTGTGTGATTCGAATATAAATGTTAAATCCTCGTGCCTAGAGACTCTTCATGGCATTAAAAATGCAAAAGAAAACTATGCTTTCTGGTACGTGGTCACCATCGGGACTTTTGGTATTACACACCTTGAATCGGGAAAAGTGTCTACAGCACCATTTAATATTTGTGAGCCATTCCTGAACCCGGATTTCATATTAGAGCAAGTACAATTTTTATTTAAAGAGTTTGAGAGAGACTATACATCGACTATTGATCCAGAGATCATTGAGGATATTTACAAACAATCAAACGGGCATGTGAAGTTGATTGTAAAGTCATGTGGAATTAAAATCTAAGATTCACTTTTGTGTTTCTGTTATTTGACAGACATGATGTCTTGTCTTCCTTTTTGGAAGAAGAATCAATGATAATTTAATACAGCATTTTGGCAGAGACAGAAGGCTTAGCTTTGTAGAATGGACAAAATTTGTTACCAAATCTATTGACAATCAGATGATTGATTATTCCACTTTCAGGAAGATGGTTGAAATGCTTAATACCAATAATAGAGTTAAGCCCGCTGTGGATCTACTTCGATCTATGTTCCTAGGATTTTTTGATTTTGTGCCAATCTATGACAAAAAAGAATTAAGACTAGCAGAATTCTTGGTAGCTTTGGGAGTACTAATGAGGAATGAGAAGACTAAGAATGAATTTAAAATGTCATCTGTTTTTGTGGATGCACTGATTCAGAAACAAGTTATTCCTGTATTGTACAAATCTTGTCCAACTATTCCAGTTCCCCATACAAATGAAGGCACTCTGAAAACCCTTGATATTTTAAAGGAGACAATCCATTGTTTTGATAAAACTATTATTTATAATGCTTTTAACCGGTCATTTAAAACTGCCCTTGTGACAGTGAATGATCAATGTAATGTGAGGGTCCCTCGAGAAAGTGTTTATGACACTGAGCTAAATAGAATCTTGGTGAACTGGATTGTCAAAGAATGTAATCTTGAGGTCACTGGACAGTGGCATCTGATAGATGAAAAAGACAAACATAATTATAGTGATATTATCATTACATCTCAACATCAAACAGTCATTCTTGAAATTTTAGCAACTGCAACAAAAAAAGAACTCAATGAACACTTTGAAAGGGTACTCAATTATGCGGAAAAACTATCTACAAATGAAATTTGGATAGTACATTTTACGTGTGAGGATGGTGCAACTCAGAACCTCCATTGGCCACCTGATGATAGAAAGTTTGGGAGTGTTAATGTTGTTCACTTCTTTCATGACTGGAGGCTTGAAAATGTATGAATGAGTGCCAGATATATATCCAACCTATCCGACTTCAGTACTTTTAGTTGCATTAGAGATCAAATTATTCCATTATACAATAATTAACTTGATTAGCTTTATATCAGTTTATTAGTAATATTTGGGGCTGTGTTGTAAAATATGGAAAATATAGAAAACAATATTTGTATATTGCAATTAATATTATGCTATATTAATGAAAATAAGTAAAAAATTTATTTTCGAATTGCAACATCATTAGAGAAAGAAGTAAAATTTAAAACATCAATTCTTTATTATCAATATAAAATGTATACACAAAGTCATAATAAACAGTCTCCCTCACCGTCCCAGGTGGATAATGAACAGAATGCACTTCAAAAATAATTACAAATGCTATGATTATAAACACGTGGTTTTTTTCCTACAAAAATTGATATCAAATATCCATATGCCTATTATATAAAAGATTTTGTTAAAAGGTTGTATTTAATATATATTTTCTCATGTATAAATTGAATTTTACATCATGACCGACCTTTAACGTTATTAAATATGCAATGAATATTATATTCTTTATTATCTATTTTATTTTTTCTTCAGGATTCTCTGACATCTTTGAAATAATAAAAAAAATAGAATTGAGATATATCTTTTAATAATAGTTTATATATACAGTGCATGAAAAAGTTTTTGGAATAAAATGTGTTTCAAATAAACCAAAATTTTCTTTAACTGAAAATCTATTTGATAATGCAAACAATGCCATGGGAAACCATTGGATCTTTCAACAAGATAACGACCCTAAGCATACAGCTATGGATACTTAAAAACTTCTTGTACAACACTGTCCAAAAATATTGGATTGCCATCAAATAGCCCAGATCTCAATCCAATTGAGAATTTGTGGCAAAATTTAAAGGGACGTGTTGAAAAGCAAGCCAATAAAGTGTTAATTTAAAAAAAAACCAGTTACTACAGAAAGTTCCCACGAAAAAAAATTTTTGTTAATTTAATTCATAGTATGCCGTCAAGGTTAAATGAAGTAATTGAGGAAAATGGTAATAAGTTAAGCTACTAAGTAGTTTTAACTGAACTTATTTATCAAATCATAAAGAGCATATAAATTTTCATGTACTGTTAGCTTTTTTTCGTTGCACAATAAATCCCACTTTTTATGCTCATTATAATTGTTTTAATTTCATTATCACTTGTAGAATTTTCCAAAATATTATCTTCTCAAAGTCTTTTGCTTGTATTTGAATTTAAAAGAGCTTAAAAATTGTTGGTAACAACAATTTGATTTGTAATGTTTTTCACATATTGAATGATTTTCTAAAGAATTACTTAATAAAGATAATTCGGGAAAATACTTAGCAAATAGTTGTACACGTTCCTTCACTGCATTTGCTGATGCCCGCCTCCAATATTGCTTATTTTTAATTTCGCATGGTTTCAAATTGCTCTCAAAATATTTTTGAGTAAGTGAAGCAAATAAGCATGGTAAGTATTAGCAGGTGGTTTTGTTGTATCCACTAAAGGTCAAAAAAAAAAAAACAAATAATTAATTTTTAGTAAAAATGTATTTTGAACAAATCAACAGATTATTACAGATTATTAACAGATGATGAAAGAGCAAGTTTAATAGTATTTCAATTATTATAAACTGATTTATTTTTAGAAAATGTAACATAGATATAACAAGAAGTATCTTGTAAATTCGTTTGTAACATATAATGAAATGATCTGCAGACTTGAATCCCGATATGCTAATATCCCTCCCTGACTGTATTATTCAGATAAATTTTAATATATGGGCATGCTGCAACAAAACCAGACAAAGTGAACATTGGTGTTACCAAAGATTTCAGGGATCAATAATGTTTGCTTAACATCACAATGTAATGTGATCATGATATTTGTCTAGACAAAAATAACCAAAAATGCAGCCAACTTTATGAAATTATCCTACAGAGTACAGGCACACTAATACTGCATTGGGTTCTTTGTTCAAAAACCTCCAATTTAGTGCCTTGTGTTCTCTAATAATATGATTGACCCATTGGGTTTAGTTTTTTTTACTCACAATTAAAACACTGCTGGCACACCTTGCCAAACGAGCAAAAGGGAAAAAAAAATCTCAAGAAAAAGAAAACAAGCAAGCAAGCAAAACATGAATAAAAAAAAAAGAGGCAGTGCCCCAGCCACGCACCACCCTTGTCCACAACATCTCATA